GAGTTATTTTGCCTCCCACCTAGCTAGGACGAGCCCAGGGTTTAGGCTTTCGGTTGTGCAGCGGATCTATGCTCTGAAGATCTGCGTCATCCGTTCTCAAGCGCAAAACCCTCTCGTTTGTCACGCGATCCTGCACCGCCTCCCCCCGGCAAGAAATTCACCACAACGAGAAGATGGCACTGCGATTACACCTCCTAAAATCATCGCCCTCAAATAAGGACCATAAGTAAGTCCACAGGTATCTTGATGGCATTTCCAAACTAGAACAAGCTCCCAAACTCCACTTCGACGAAACCCCGGCAACTTCCGTGGCCTGGCTGTCTGCCTGTGCCTCCAGAGCCTCCACACCTGGAGGACTCCAAAAAAATCAAGCTCAGCAAGGTCTACCGTTGGGGGGGGGGGGGGGGGGGNNTAGGGGGGGGGGGGGTTTGCTCAGAGTTGAGATTGTGGCCCAGGGGCCGGGAAGACTCAACAAGTTGCTTAGCACTCTTCTGGGTATCTGTGGCACAGAGCGGGCTTCATCCGCCTAGTACCGGGAACATGGACGGGATAATCCCAGATTGCAAGAGTGCATAGTCTCAGACTCCGCAGGCTAGCACTGCGCACGTCTTGCTGGTCTCCATCCGTAAACCTGGACCCACAGTAAACCCTTAACCGGAAGTTAACACTAGCCATGGTCCACAGGAAAAAAACCCGAAAACGTATGAAGAGTGCAGAGTGCAATATTCCGAAGCCACAAAGGCGTGTTTTTCCGACTCCCAGCTCGGAGCCCTTCAAGGTCCCTCTGTGTACCCCGGCGTAGTCGAAGGGCTGAATCGGAGACTTGCTGGATTCCCGTGTCCTGGAGGTTTGCCCGCATGTTGTTCACGATTGCAGGTTGAAATTACGGTCTCCATCGGTCCTTTCTCTTAAGTTTAAGGGGAATAGGAGTCTGGGGATCTATCCTGAAACTCTGCAATTCTTCAGCCATTGGCAGTTTTCTCTAATATAGAGGCGTGAGTGGTTCGCAAGAATGTCCCATCATAACCCGTATATGTCCCTATACAATCTTCCCGCAATATACAAAGGGATTCCTTTCGGCAATCGCAGGAAAACTTTACCCCTGAACATACATGAAAATAGCCTACATAGATCCCACTTGCTGTATAAAGAGCCGCGGAAAGCAGAACTGGTCCTGGTTGGCAGTGGGAGAACCCGCCGCCGTTCTTCGGCCTCAGACGGGTGCAAGATCTTGTAAATCCCCTCTTGAAAGCCTATCAAAAAGCCTGTAGAAGCCCTGCAAAAGCCATACAAGCCTGTAGAAGCCCCATACAGACCTATCAATCTAACCTGGCGGATTCAGAGAACTGATCAGTTCTAAGCCCATAATATCCGAAATCCTCAGACCTTGAACCCAAAACTTTCAAACATCCGAAGCCCTTGCTACCCTCAGGCCCCACGCCCCGAGATCACTCCAAAAACCAAGAGCCAAGGACGTAGCACTCCGCTTCCAGAAGACCCAGAGCTGTCTGGAGCTGAGTCTGCTCGGTCCTCGTCTCCTGTGAAATTTCAGGGTTTGGGGTTTCGGGTGCGTTGTGATGCTTTTTTGTCAGGGTTGTTGGAATGTAGACGATCTTGAGGATTTACAGGGTTTCAAAAATTTCGGGAACTTTGGGGTTTAGGACTTGTTTTCCCACCCGCCCAGCTGACCAAGTTGCAGCGCTAGGGGAAGACTCAAGGCAGACCACACAACAAGTACTAAGCAACCGGTACAAAGGAGAAGAACGCACTCTCGTCGAACCTCCAGAGCGACACAAGACGAAAGGCGCTCGCACTAGCGAGAACTTCTGGGGTTCCGGGCTTATAGGACTTTGGGTGTTCGATGCACGCGCTCTGGGGGGGGGGGGGGGGGGGTAGAGGTTTGCAAGATTTCAGGGGTTCTGATATTTCCAAATTAGGTTGTGGGTCTCATGACCACTGTTGGGGATATAGGTTTAGGATCGCTTGAGTCCGTTCAAGACTGCCCAGCAGCTTGCCTCCAAAGACATCTTGATCGAGGACATCTCCTGCTACATGCTGCTCGCCAGACATTGTTACACGTCGGGAAACATTGAGCTATGCATGCACTTCCTAAACAAATGACACCGTCATTCACGAGGAAGCAGCGGCGGCGAATCCTGCCCGCAGCGCCGAGTAGCTGCTGCAGGCACAACTCGTCCGTTTACGAACAGACGTATAGTAACTGACACGTGCCATCCAATGACCCACTCGACTCCCAACCTACACCCATAATTGGGGCCCGCAGGGCCATGGATCTTCGAGCACAGCACACTCTGACGACACCAGGTTTCATCTGAGCATGATCGATGTCACTAACATAGCCAGGCATACAACTACCCTCTGCCCTAAACCAGGGAATCGTAGCTAATTCAACCAGAGCCTGCGAAGTGCCGCTGGGCTCCAACTGGTCCAATCTGTTGTACCTGCCACATATCATCCATCTCTCTGCCAGAGCTTCACAAGGGGTTAGAATCGTGTCAGACTTGCAATCTCCAATTTTGTTACGAAGGCTGGAGCCCGCCCCACCTGGCAAAGCCTAAGCCTTCAAAGTGCGAACGCACTAGTCAGCATCGAGACATCCCAACAGCACTGTTGAACTCTTGTCATGAAGTCGTACCCGAGGCGCCCTTCTGCTACGAGTAACATTTCTGTTCGGAGCATTGCTGCCATCATTGTCGTACCAAACCTTCAGTCGCCACGAGATTTTCGCACACAGGGCACGCTGTGTCGATGCGGGTCTTGAGAATTCCTTGGCCACAAGCTGTACGGCTGCATGGCTGTCGGGCCTAATGTATCTTAACTTGATATGGCCAAGGCGGATAAGGCTTAATTTTACCCTAAACCCTTAATTAACGAGGTTAAGGCCCAAAGGACCTCGGGGTCGATGCGTTTCACCGACAGGAAGCATGGCTTTAGTCTCAGTCTCAATATTTCGGAACTCGGTAGTAAACTCATCTGCCGGATCTTGTACATAACACGCAACCGTAGCATGATTCTGGCGACAGCATGACATGCAACGGCCGTCCTACTGCCACAAACTTTAAAAGTCTAGTCATGGTTCTTATCTTGATGATGACCATGATTCTACTGGCGGGTATGAGGTGACTACAACCCCGCACATCCTAAACCCCCAAAGTTTCGACATTTGCAGAAGAAAAGCAACCAAGCAAAGCTTGCTTTGCTAAGCCAAAGCTTCCCGACTCGCGCAGTCGGGATTCCCGCTCGTCTGTCAGGCCTCTGAATGGTTTGTAGATGGGCTCTATGATATTGTTTACATTGGCCAGTTTAAGCGTTCGATTCTATGCTGGCCATTTTAAGGGTTTCAGAAAGTCGCTAGTGAAGGGTTCTATGTGGTTACTCCAGGAGTTTAGGAACGGCTTCCAGGGTTTATTAAGGCCGTCGGGAAACTTCGTCGGGTCTGGACGCTTGGGCTTTGAGCAGTTCTGGGTTTTGGTGCTGGCATCCATGCTTTCAGGACTCGGATGCTCGGATAACTTGGGGGCCGAAGGCTTTCGCCTCGCTGCCTGCGTGAACGCAGGTGTCAGTCAACCAAATACTTGTGCTTCTGGGGTGCTGTGCTGAAGGCACGGGTCTGTTTGTCCCGAATGAAAGGTGTCTGCAAGCAACTTTTCCATGTGGATGGCACGCGTGTGCTTACATGCCTGAGGATGGTGGAGGAGGGAGCAAGAACTTCGACCTTCTTTCGGCACCTGGCCAAGCTTTGCATGCCAACGAAGTTGAAGGCTACCGGCAACGTCCCATGATGAGGTAATGCAGGGGCCTGAATAATTAGAATAGGGTTTTGGGGGTCCTTATTATAATTATAGTACAATATACCCCCAAACCCTATTCTAATTATGAAGGCCCCTACAGTACCCCTGAAGAGAATGCCCACGCACTTGGCGTCGACATTTGCAACGCAGCTTGCCCAGCTTCAGTCTGAGGTCTTCTTCGGTCTCGAGTCAAGATTCAGGATCAGGCTGCGAGTTCCGAAGCATCTATAATACAGAATATAATGATAAGATTTTTTTAACCCTGCTGTAGTAGAATAGAATCGACTTTAACTTTAGTATCGGTTTATGTAGCCTACATAATGCAATAGCTGACATGACTTGAAGCAGCGCTCCCCTTTTTTTTTGTGCCTCCACTGCAGCCAAGCCCTAACAGCTAAAGAGGCTGCGGCAGCATTTCTGACCCGCCCCTGCTTGAGGCTCGCACCCGAAAAGCCCCTGACTTGCATCCCCCGCATCTCGTGGACAAGACAGGTGCAACAACATCTCCATACTTCATGCCTCTAAAACCATGCCCGATGGGAGAATCCGTCAGCTGGGGCAAGTGGGCAAGCTCAGCGTCTGAGATCTGCCGGAAGCGTCTTCCTGCAATGCTTGAACTGGATTCGTTCTTTCTTGTTTACACAAAACAGATGGGGACACTGTACTGGGCACGCGCTTTGTAGACCGGGAACCATGCACCCAAACGAACCCCGACGCCTTGAATGGAATCCGTCGGCGCAGCATGGGGTAAGGTTTCGTGAAAACTCCAGATTATTTAGGGATAAGGAGCATCTGAGACTGCATCAGAAATCCCAGCTCCCGTTTGACCCATGTCTTAATGTGCGTGCCGGAGCACAGCATATACTTGGCCATGCGGCACACTCCCGTAAATCCAAGACCCTGCGTGAAAGTGAAACCCTTGACTCTTCATGCAAAGATCTGGAGACCAGCTACAACCCACATATTCAGCACGGCCCCAAACCTCCTTTGGTCGGTTTTTCCCAAGACGCAAGACCATGAGGAATTGGACTGCTGGGTTTGGCACTGCCTCGTGTCTAGGTGGTTCCTACTCCCATGGTTATAGGCTCTAGGAACGAAGGTAGCATGGTTCGCGACTGGTCTGCCTGAGACAGGGGAATGTTTCGACGACCGAACCCTCTGCCGTGCCACCTCGTGGTTTATCCAGGCCTGGTTGGGCCCAGGTTGTGGTCGAAAGACCGGGACCAAGAACCTGCGAAGGCTATCCATGTTCTGCATTTGAGGTTTGTGTGCTGGCAGGATGCAAAGCGCTTTGGGGGATTTGGCTTGATGCTTGTCTGGCAGTATGTGTGGCTAACGTTTCGGCGTTAATTGCGGGACGCAAGGCTTTGCTTGGCCGTGCGTGCTGCAAAAGGTTCCTCATGCTTCTCGAACCATAGTGGTCCCGATACATGTCGAGCGTAATTAGGAGTTCCATCAGCCAAACCAGTTAAGTACACTCATGCAATCAATACGGCTTCGAGGGTTGGAGACCACGGTTGACGGCCTTCCTGTTAAGACTGGACTGGAGACAGCAGGCAAGACGCCCCCAAGCTGCGGCTTCGCTTGGCTCACACACTTATGGAATGCTATTTCATCATCCTGTGCCATGAGGGTCTTCGCCGGTCGCAAAGCCTCCACTGCTACTGTTATTGGTTATCCGATACCATTTACGGTTCTTGCGCTACATCAGGCAACTCCATGCCGCCCCCCTCTCCCTTCCCACGGGCTTCTCGTCCAGGCTGGACCACCACCTGCACCAGCGTAACTTTTGCATTGGATGGAACACGCTTCGGATAGTTCGGATGCGAGATGGGGGCGGGTTCAGAATGTCCTCTGTTGCTGATCGAGGTGCCACGTTACTGCAACCCATTCTCCACTACCGTTCCTATCGTCGTTCGCATCATAATTCTCAGTCCTCTAGATCTGCGTTGCGATGCTTCAGCATCAAGAACTAAACGGATGCCTGCTTTCCGGCCCTGAATTACCAAAGCAGCGGCTAGTGGCATTCCGGCCTCTACACAACAACGGCTGCAGCTCTGCTGGCTGTTGCTTTTTTCTGCCAGGAGCCCGCCATAAACAACATGGACCCGGAAAGTCCGCCGTAGAATCTGCAGAAAGGCCGACAACGCACTGATCTCGATCTTTCGCGCCTCCCGAGACCCCGCCGCACCCTGGTGCCCACCCCGAAGGATGCTCGTGGTGTGGAGTCGTGGTAGCCTGTTTACAGTCGGGTTTAAGGCTGGAAGTTTAGGCTGATGTAATTAGGGGCATCGACTCGCACACTCGCACAAAGCAGGTTTGAGGGGTTTAGGGTTCTGCGGCATGTACAGGTTTAGGATAACATAGGATCTCCTGTTCTACGAGCCTTGTGAACGAGCCTAAGCTGTATGCTGCGGCGAAGCGGTGGTGTAGATTTCTGGATGTTGAAAGCATGCGCAGTTCAGGCCTCTGAGCTTCGAAGCTTCCGACACTCTGGCTTTCTATCAGTTGTGCCCTCACTCTTACACGGAAGGCCAAACTCAGGAATGAGACAATGCTTGCGAACCTTAGGAGCAGCATCAGCAACTGCACTAGCCCATGTTGGTTGCAATCACAGCCTGTTTACATATGAGCTCCTACACAACCACCAACCCCCCATGGCTTGACATAAACTAACTAGCCTCCAAACATCCAGAATCTTCAATTCAGCGTCAGGTTCCGGAGTTGAACAGTTTTGGGGTTCGGGCCCTTTGTTGATTCTTCTGGGGATTACAGGTTTCCAACTCTAACATTTCTGACATCTCGGCCTGAGCCGGGGGGTGGGGTGATGCCACAAGACACCTGGACATCTGCATTAGCCTTCCTAAGGTCCTAGGCTTTCTTCGAAGAAGCCCGAGGCTGGCAGGACACGGGGCTTATTAATTGAAGCATTACTCACATCCTATCCTATCTAGGGACGGGCATGGGCTTAGCTTAAAAAGCAATACTGTAGCCGACGAGTTTCATCTTCAACTCATAGTGTGCTAACCTTGTCGTTCGGAACCCTCGCCAGTAGCCCCGTTTCGACGCAATGGGCATGCTGCTAAGTGTCTCAGTGCTCGACGACACCGATTAACTCTGAAACGCAACAAACACTTTTGGTAGTCCGTGCCATTCAACATGCGTGTCAGTGTGGCTGTAGCATGGTCGCAACTCGTCCTAAGCATTAACATGGAGCCCCGCAAGCCCTTCATCTCCGCCCTCCTGATGGCCGGGGCTGAAGCCGGAGAAGGCGCATCACCTTGGAGAGAGTCGTGTTTTGAAGGAATTACCGGAAAGAGGTGCAGTCTCCCCCCAACCCAAGGCTACAACTTGAGCAATCCATGACAATCATGTGCTAAGCCTCCGGCTACAGGGAAGAGCGTCCCGAAGAAGAGGCAGTTCCTTTGATTGACTTTGCGGCACAATTGCGACAGATCCAGCAGCTTTCAGAAATAGGCGTGGCAAGCGACTTCAAGTGTGTTCGTCTACGGACTGTTGCCTTCTTCTGCGCTGCCAACCCTTCGCTGGGGGTCTCCTGTCCTAGCTACCACTAAAAGTGCTTCTGCTCCGCATGCTGGACAGCATGTGCAGGGCTGGGGATTCTGTGTTGCTTTACAGGTCCTGTCGTTCACTGCTAGGTATGCAAGCTAAAACTGGCCGCATAACGCGACATGAAAACCGATCACTATCATCGTCGTCAGCCTAAACTGCAAGTGATTCGGTGCGATTAGACACATGCTGTTCCAAGTGTTCTAACTTACTCAGTACCTTCCCTGGCACAAAACCCCAAGCTTCAGCGGTCTGAGAAGAACGGACAACTGGTGAGCAGCTTCTCTGCAAGCCCCAGGCACACTAGGACGATGCCCAGCACTGTCGTTACCTGAAAGGCATATGGGCATGGGCGTCAGTGCCAGTGCGTGTGCGCTCTTCCCAACCCACATCGCCTTTCTGCCAAAGCTCGAAAGTCGTCTTGAGGCAGACCCGCAATCACCAGCAGCGACGAAAGAAGTGTAGACCCGATGTACACGCAACCCGATTCTGATGCATAACTTATGCTGCATCGCTTTTGACAAGTTCTGTTGGCAGCCTGGGTGCCATGAGACGATCTACATGTGACTGTTCGTCTTCCGGCGGCACCTTGCGGACTTCGACTGAAAACCCCAGTCAAGAGTTACGGTACAAGCTTCAGCGTCCACAATTTCAACACTCACAACTGGGACAAGGGAAACCAACGAGGGTACCCAAGCCGTCAAGGCTTGACGGCTTGTTTCGGGATAGGTTTGGGGTGGTCGAAGAAAGCCAACAGGGAATGTAAGGAGGCAAGGGGGGTTTGGGGTTGTGGGATCCAGGATCTGTCTTTGCGTTGCTACACAAGTCATGAGACAGCATGAGTGAAGTGGACCGACCGTTAGCAAATTCCTGCAAGCGTGATTGTGGATAAGCCTTTCCGTCCGGGTAGCTGCACGGAGTATCAAGGCGTAAGCGATCGTGCCGCGCATGCAGCCGGCCATTCCCTGAGTCGGAACACGGGCAATACCAACAATCGAGGCTTGCGTGGTTATCATCCTGAACCGAAAATGCCCAAGCACTAACGACGTATGTCAACTCTTACCTAATTCCTCCGAGATATCTATACGCATGCTAAGCTGTGGGAGTGCCTGCGATCTCCCCTCCCTGCCCGCTACTGTATGTACACCAACCTTTATACCTAAACTGTATGTAAACACAAAATATTTTCTCTCTCACAACAACTCAGTCACCTGTCAGCCGCGATACACAGAATACATTATGCATATGTATATATATATATATAACTCTATAATATTCGCACACGAAGGACTTTTGATTGAAGCAAGAGTTGCAGCACTACCTACCCTTGTACGTGGCGGTCGGCAGGCTCTGAGTACGCAGAAATAAAATGTTCGTGCATGGGGTTGAGAGTCTCGACGGGAATTCCTCTTTCTTTCGCACTGCCGCTTGATTTTCACGCTGGCACACTTGCGACAGGGGCTGGGCAACATCCACAAAATGCACGTGCTGCAAAATCTCAAAAATCTCACTCACTGCAAAAGCCAACACTCCGAACGCAATGAAAGCGAGCCAAGGTGCCACCATGCACAGCTCCTTCGCATTAAGTGACAAAGCCCGGCCGCACTTGATCAACTTCATCACCATCGCTAAGATGGTGACCTTGAGCCGCATTAGCGACGCTTTTGGGCTGGATCATTAAATGTATGTATGTATGTATGTATGTATGTATGTATGTATATATATATATAACAGGGGCCTCAACAGAACGAAAAGGGTATGGGCAGGGGATAGACTATACTATAAAAACATTGTAGGCACGATGCACGGCAACTACTCGTCACTGTGCGGGCCCCCATATTATTCAACTAATCCCGGCCTCAACAACCGAAATTGAACCTGGGGCTGGCCACAATTCACTGAAGCATCAAGCCCGGGCGGGCGCTCCGGGACATGGCCTCAGATGCTTGAACCTTCGATGGGTTCACCAGTATCGATGCAGGCAAGTGGCCGAAATCATGCGGGCGCCTCTGTCCCAACATCGGGGTGCTTCGATGCTTGTGTTCTATATGGCCTAACTAGACCGGTTGAATTCCTGGCCCCGGCCATTCGTCCCTGCAGGACACGAAGTGCGTGGATAGCAATGACACAGTTGATTTTATGCGTTCGTCTCGTGCCACCAAGCCAACCAAGCAATCACCCTATAGGCCAGAGTCATCAAGAGTGGTCAGCCGCACGGCATGTGACGACAGTGTTTTTTGAAGCAATGGACTATGCCTATGCGACGATAGTTCCACGATCCTTTTTGAGGGGATGGCTCCAGGACTGCTTCAGGCTTCAGGGCGGGGGTCATCGCGACGCCATGAGAAGTTCAACCATGATGCATCATTCCTGCCCTGATTTTGGCAGCGGCATGAGTGTCATTTCTCCCAAGATAGTTCGAGCAGGGGCATTAAGAATACTTGCTTGAAGCAATTTACGTAAGTGAAGCTGACCGTGCCGGATCGCTGAGAACTCTCCGGATGTGACCCGGCAGAGCAAACACGACTCGTATCCGAACATACTTCTGGGCCATGACTCTTGAAAGCAAGACGTCTTGGTGAGAGATGTGACAGCTTCTGTGGTTGTGGATGGGTGCCGTCTCGGATCCTTGATGCTACGGTCTTAATCTTGAACTCTTATCGCAGGTTTACCTCCCCTGACATCCTTGCCAAGATGCCCACGATGCACACCTGAGAGGAGGACGTGTGGGTTTTCCGTCCCCATGGACCCCAACTTGCCAACTCCAAAATTATGCATATAGTGAGGTTGTTTGGTGTATCCTGCTTGCGTTGATGAGTGCCGTTCTCTGCCTTCGACTTGCTTCCACTGTCCAAAAACCCTATAAACTCACAAAGCCCATACTAGAAGCCGGTCTTTCAAAACTTCAACTTTCAACCTCTCACGCTTGAAAATTCTAGCTTGCAAACCTTCGACCAACTCTCGAAATCGCAACTTCGCGAACTCCGAACTCTCAGCTTTGAGCGCGGACCGCTCGGCCGTGGCTAAAGCTTGGAGTAATTCTATGAATTCGAAGAAACCTACAGCACAGTTTTTACACGAAGCACCCGTCCCCCGCCGTCCTCAACCCTTTTGCACGGACTTGCGCCCTCCCGGTTCTCAGAGCTGCGGCACTCGTGGCAAAAGGCCCTAGACCCTGAACCCAACATGGCCAAAAACAAGCTCGTGCACAAAGGCACTCCAGGCGAGAAGAGGCCTTAAACACAGCCGCTTTCAGGCGACCTGCCCTCTGTTTTGCCTCTCGTGCGATTGGTGCTCTGAAACTGCTCTGGTATTTCGCCAGAAAAAGCGTTGCATCGCTGTGGCAAAGGTTGTTGTCGTAGTTGCTGCGCCGGTTTGGGGCTCCTTTGTCAACGCTGCTGCTGTGACTGGTAGCTTGAATGGCAAGTTTCTCAAAGCCTAGCATCTCAGGACTCATTATGGCTCTGGGTCCTATACTGACAAAGCTCAGCAAATGAATCTGCCAGGTTGCGATGTAATAAACGATCAGGTGGAACTGGAAGCCCACGTCTGTTTCCTCTGGAAGGCGCAGGCGAAATTGGGGTTATGCCGCAGTCAGCCGAGATTGCTTATAAGGTCTTTAGTGCATCACGAACTTGGAGTCGCTGTTGTATTTCTGACTCTTGACAGTACTGTGGTTGCCGAACACACTACATGTGTAGCTGCTGTTCTTATCAGCTTCCTCCGCTTACCATCAGTAGTGTTTCTGTAGTGTAAAAATCCTCGCGGCCCGGCACCCTTTCTTCGAAGGTTGACCCGGCCTGTGAGGTGTAGGCAACAGCCGTCAACCCGAAGTAGCCAAAGACCACACCTTGAGCATCAAGGCTTAAATAACTTCACAGACCCTGAGGAGTCGGGATGACTTGCAGACTGAGCGAGTGGGCGTCCAGGCTGCTGAGTAGTTACTCTACGACCGACGGCTTTCCAGATGCTTTCGGATCTCAAGTTTCGAGGATTGTTCAAGAAACCCTTCATGCCAAAACCACGATGGTTTAGGCCAACGGGTCTGAATATGACCCGATGCAGTTGCTTTCACTTTGCAGGGTTTCGGTTGGGTGCGTGGGGGGTGAATCAGAGGATGCCGCGGAATCATCCGGGTCGGTCTAACACGGCAGCAATACAAACCCTGGCAAGAAAAACCCTGGAGGTATCTCAACAGATACATTCCGGACACCCTCGAAGCGACAGCCAAGGAAGGAAGGCTGAGTTCGATGTTGATGCAACACTGATTTTCGTTGATGTTTCCTTTCAACTTGCAGAACCGGCTATGGGAGACTAAAAACAGTCTTGTCATGGTGATTTCGGAGTCTCCTAAGCAAACGTAGCAATGATCTGCTTGCGCGAAAACCCACGTTCCCTGTTTGGAAATGCCCTACGCAAAAGCAGCGGGGACGCCCGCAATCAAGACGCCTCCTTCTGGGTGTATGGTCTTGGGGTTTCGACTCTCGCACCTTACACAATCCAGTCGAGGTGTCTGAGTAGTAGTGTTCTGGCAACTCTGTTGGCAGCCAACGTCTTGCGGGCCTAACGACTGAGCCCCAGCCCTTCCCCACAGTGTTGTAGTCCAGCTACTTTCCGCCATGTATGCCATCAGCTCGGCAAGCTCGCCTTTGGAACTTTGCAGGGTTTCCGGGTCAGTCTCGTTTTTGCCTCCCACCTAGCTAGGACGAGCCCTCATTGCAGGGTTTTGCCAGAGAGAACAACAGAGTGAGTCTTGTCCACGAGTCTCTACATGGCAGTGAGCGAGAAGCAAAACCTCTTCGAAAGTCTATCGTCCTTGCTGAGATCATGAAACCACACTTTAGCAGACCTCTGTGATGGCAATCAACCACCACAGTTCATCCACAACTCGTCATCAAGAAGTCCAACACTTTCATCAGACATCATGTTCATTGCGCACATATTTCAGAGAATGGCAGAAACATGCTACAATGGCTTTTCTGACAACAAACCTGGGAGTGGCTGGTAGTAGTTGGCAAATTAGTGACAGCAGTGAGAGAGGTCGTAGTGGTGGTCGTGGTAAGAGGCAACGGCGTCAGCAGCAGTGCAAAAAGTAGCGCCAGCAAGGACAACATGGCGACACTGGAAACACGCTTAATGCTAGTACGAACAAGCGACGCAGACGTACCATGCGCAGCTTCAGTAGTATAGGATGACAATAAGAAAAGTGGTAGCGACTAAGCGCCGGAAGGCCGCTTGAAAACCCTGGAGGATTTCATGCCAAAGCGGCTTGTGAACTCTTGAGCTTCTGGCGAGAGCCTTGCTTGGGGGGGGGGGGGGGGGCCTGTTGGGTTTCGGACCCTGCAGCTTTCGAGAGGTTGGCCTTATCTAGCCTTCAGTATTCGGGTTCTTCAGGTGTTCAGGGTTATCCGAATTAACAAAAGCCCGACTGTGTGCGAGTCGAAAGCTTAGGGTCGCTTAATGGGGTTTGCTTCCTCGGGCCTGAACTAAAAGGTTGCATCAAAAACCCACATCCAAGCAAGCTGCAATGTCCAATGGATCCCAATATCACAAGAACTTCCCATCAAAATTCGAACAGGTCTTGAACGCCGGTGCCAGCAGCAAAGCGCTAAATCTTGGTGTCCCTGCAGCCTGGCAGCCCATGCTGGGCA